CTGTGGTCAAAACAGGAAGCAGGATTATAGCCACATATGTATGTAGGATGAGGAAGGTCACAACTGTAATGCAGACGAGGGGGTTCCCAAAAGGCCAAAATTATATCAACAAGAGAGAAGTGGGAGTGAAACAACAGTTCTAATTGATCTTGTACCACACAGTTACAGAAGGACTCATAGAAGAGATTTAAATTCACTGAGTTGTAATACCCAGTCATTATTTGGATCACCTGGCTCCAAGAGTAAGTATCTACAACCTGAGTGAACTTCACATTAATAGTGACAAAAGACAACCCGTTATATAACCACTGTTGGCTAACACCTGTGGGAGTAAGAGGGCAAAAAAATAAAAAAATACCTGCAGAATGACTGATGTTTAGGTCAGACAACCTGTGCTTGAGTTATTACTGCACTGAGAGTGAGATTATCATTTAAAAGCTTGATTAATATGTCAAAAACTGTGATGTTAATGTGAAGAAAGTGTGATCAGTTGTTAGGTCAAAAGCTTCATTTACTGACATCAGATTCAGATTCAGAAATACTTTAAGACACGATGAGATAAATAAAACTCCCAATAAGTTCAGATCTCTTCAGGCGGTGAATATATATATATATATATATTTTTTTTAACCACTGTTGGCTAACACCTGTGGGAGTAAGAGGGGAAGAAAAACAACAAACCTGCAGAATGACTGATGTTTGCTTCTCCCCGGGTCTTGCTGCTTTCCACTTTCTGTAGGTGTCAGAGCTCAGCAGGTTGTCTGCCTTGTGAGTCTGTTTTAGCATTATGACACAAAAAGTGACAGGATGAAGGCTCACATTTAGCTCAGTGCTAGGGGGCGAAAAAGTGACGACTTTCTACACAAATTAAATGCAAGTGACGAATGAACTTACAGTGTCCTCGGTGCTGCAGGACACGACGTGTTTGAGCTGGATTTCTGGCATGTTTGCTGTTGATTCTTGGCAGCTTAGAGACAGATGAATGAGCCAGCGTGGAGTCAAATAAACCAACCGGGCCGCTTGCCTAGCCTGTAAGCGCTGTCGTAACCGGTTAACAAAGAATAAAACACATGAAGAGTCCTTTCAGTGGCGGAACATTAAACCTCGGCGACAAACAAACCACTGGCTAGCGTGATAGCATGCTAGTAAACAATAGGCAGAGTGAACTTTTCCTGAGTAATCTGAGTATTTTAACACTCCTTAAGGGCTGTTCCGCTTGTACTTTTTAAACTGTTATGTACTCGACACATAGCCGCTCGCTTTGGCGTTACGTTACATATGAGAAAACACATATTAATACTTTTAATTACAAGTTACATGAGGGTCCAGTTGAACTCATATTCCCACCAAAAGCCCGGTGTGTGTGTGTGTGTGTGTGTCGTGCTGTGACGCAATTTCCGACTAGAAGCAAGTCCATCCAATCAGACCGCTCCTTGTTCTTCTTCTGCGTTTGAATAAGTGCATCACCAGAGTTTTACCGCCACCCATCGTTCGGATTGTGTAACTCTATGGTAGTGACACAACGTGTGTTATTATGGTGCAATATTTTAAGACATGATTAAAAATCTATTACCAAAATAATTTTTTTAAAAATGGTTTGTTTGCAGTTTCTGTTCAGGTGTTTCCCTTTCTTGTGAGGAATAAAGTTTTAAGCATGTTTTCTTTTGTGGACACTGTCATACTGTTTTTTTTTTTTTTTTTGGTTAGTAAGAAATCTTTCAGTAGATCAGTTTCATGGCAGATATTTTTAAATCTAATAAGAGGAAAAGTACAGGTGAAGTTAACATTAATTACAGCTCGGTTTCTTGCATTCCTGACTTGACTTCAACTTTGATGGTTAAACAGTGTCCTCATCTTTCCTTCTCTTCTTTTAGTTCTTTGAATCAGAATACACTGAACTGATACTTAGGGGGAAATTAGGTGTAATTGGAGATAAAGATAAAAAAAACAGATAGAAGACACAAAAAGAATTTAAAAAAGGGAAAGTTACATCATAAAAGAAAATTGAACATGAACATGAGTAGTGGAAGTCTACACACACACATATATATATATATATATATATGTTGTGCAAGGATGAAAGGACTTTGTGGGTTGATTCACTGTATTTTCTTTCCTTTTTTTTCCTTTTTGTTTTTTTTCATTCAACATTTTTTGTTTAATCTTTTTATTTTCTTACTTCACATTTACAGTAAATGGTAGTTCTAAAAATATATGCTTGTGCCATTCTGTGTAAAAAACTAATAAGAATTTGGTCACAAATAAGACTCCATGGCACCAAACTTACTGTGATGCTGAATAAACCAGAGCGATTGTTGATATTAAATACACCTGTGCTCTTTCTGCAATGACATGTCTGCTATGACAAGACATAGTCTCACGTCAGCATTGTGGTACTCTTCCTCACAGATGTAATACATGTTGCAAATTGCATTAGAGCTTGAGCTGCAGTCTTCATCCCTCCACAGAAACTTTAAACACTGCCTGAGGATCACTTTGTATTAGACATGCTGCAGCTACTGTTACAAATGCGATTGGAGCAGTTGACTAGTGAGACCGAATCAAATCTGAGGGTCTGTGCTTGTGTGAGTTGTAGAATAGACACACGATGAAATGATTAAAAAACCTCTTTTATCAAACCTTTTCATCTTTTATTTTAAAAAAAAACACAGAGGTAGGTCACAGGCCAAGATACAGAAATTGTTCAATATGGAAATTATGAGAGAGATAGACCACTGCGAGCAATTCAAGAGATCACACAGTGCGTGGTTGTGAAGTGCTGGAGGCATATATATATGGCTGTATAATATATACAATAACAAAGTTACATAAACTATGCATTACAATCAGTATGGCTGAGTGTGAATCTGAAGTCTAATGAGAGTTTAATACAGCAGGAGAATCATGCGACGTCTCCACAGCGAGCTCAGAGAATCTCCAAGTAGATGGCTGTCTCTGCATCGCCCACAGCAGAACTTTGCACCTCTCTTGTGCGTCTGACTCCCAAACCTGCTCGTCTGTCCATTCCTTCACCCTCTCCCCCTCTTCTTCTCTCCCCACCTCTTCTGCCCATTGGGCGGATCTGGAAAAAAAAGGGACAGATGTTGCCAATCCTGAAATCTGGGAATTAGAGATTTCTGTCTATGCAATGTGCCAAAGACATAACCAACACTCAAAGATCAAGATAATCAAATACCTGCTTAGAATGGACAAAAAGAGGTGTGCAGTTCTGGTATACAAGTTGGTAGCTGCCGTTGGTATAGATATGAGTCACTTCTGTGCAGTTAATGTAGAGGGGCATCTGGTCCTGATAAATTCCCAGTCCTTCAGGGTACACAGCTGGGCGTCTACTCAGGACATGTCTGAGAGGAACAGAACAGGAACATGAACCTCACAATAAGCAAGTGTGACAAATGTCAGTAAACTTTTAAAGGGCTGAACTGCTTCACATACTTTCCAGCTCTTTTTCGGCAGCAGTAGAACAAAAGAGACAGAAGGAATATGACCAGGCAGATGGCCACAGCGGGTATCACCAACCACAGCAAAGGTGCTGTCTCTATGTATGGGCAAAAAAGCAGCGCTGGATCAGCATATGATGTAAAACTACACTATAATAATCACAATTTATCCTCCATGGCTGGATTATAGTTTAACTCTAGGCCTTTCAGACATATTGCTTGTCACTTAAGCTTAAAGTAATGGCTTAACTTAGACATTCCATGATAAGATCTCCAAATGCATAAACATATTAAGCACTGAAATGTGAAGAAAAATAAAATACACTGGGGCAACGAAAAAGCAGAGTAAAAATACAACAACATAAGTTTTCTTTGCAGCTTTTCCTGATTCATTCTTCAGTTTATTCTCTTTAAGCTGCAGGCATTTTGCACAGATGTTTCAGCACCAGACCTACATCAGAGTGTAAAAACAAGAGACAGAGCTATTGCCATTGTAAGTGTGGAAAACAGAACACACCTTCGCCACCCTGCAGCAACATCAGGGAGTCATTTCCCAGAGCATTGACAGCAAAGCAGATCACCGTCTGTGGTTTGTCCATGCGGCCCCTCAGAGTAGCTGTTAGCTTGTCAGACTCAGATGTTACCGACACATTGTAATCATGAGGTGGAACAGTCCCATTCACGCTCCAGGTGACTGCTGGTTTTGGGTTGGAGTCGACTGAACAGCGACACAGCACCTCCAAATCATCCACATCACAAGTGGAGGAGAGCCGGAGGATGACTGGTTTATCTGTGAGTGCGAAAGAGCACATTTAAACTTTGCCTGAAACTCTTATTACACTTAATATTTACTTAAAGTTCTTGGTGTTATTTAAACTAGAATTTAGCTTTTATTTATGAAATATTGTAACTCTAACCCACCATATTGTGTTCACTCTGTACATATGGAATCATTTCCTTTTTTTGATTATTAAACTTTTACTATAAAAAACTGAAGGTCCAAGTTAACAACAACTTAACACCAGCTAAAATCTTTTTGCTGACTAGTGATTTAACTTTTCACCCCATTGCAGTGACGCCAAACTGTACTCAGGTTGTGGTCTGTACACTGTGACAACACTGCTGGGTGTGGTTACAGGTGCAGCAAAGAACACTTCTGACCACACCAGACCAGTTAGAGGTGAAACAAACTTGAAATAAAGAGGAGTGAAATGCTTTTTAGCTCAGTGCGACTGTTTCACTGACAGCTTTGCAAAACAAGCATGTGCAGATAAGGCTTGTTGTCAAATAGTACAAATGTGTGTACGGCCTTTGGAGGTAGGAGGATTACATCGTATGTTCAGTGGCGTTGGCCGGGACTCTCCTCGACCAATCAGGTTCTGGGCTGAGCAGCGGACTTTCATGTCTCGGGTCACGTTGAACACCCGGATTGTGTGCGTGCGCTGGTGGAGGTGCACCGAGCGACCTTGTTGACTGTAGGACCAGCGGTACTCAGACGCCGGCGGGTCAGCTTTACATGAGCAGACCAACAATGCGCTGCCCCCCTCCTGCACCATCAACGACTGGACCTGAACCATTACATCTTTTGGTGAAACTATAGAGCAAAAGTAATAACAAAAAAAGGTTTTAGTGTAAACTGAGCCAAGAAACACAAAGATACTAGTCAAAACTATGCTTACATGTCACATGGAGATCCTTTGAAGTAGCCAGTGCTTTGGCTCCTGGGTAGCTGACTTCACATCTGAGCCTGGGTTTCACCTTGTGAGAGACAGTGAAGGACAGGGATGCCAGTAACATCAGCCTGTGGGGCTCTGGGTGGAGTATCTGTACCTCCCCAGGCTCAGTGCTGTTCAGCTGGGCTCCTCTCTCCCAGCTCCACTGCAGGGTTGGAGGTCTGGAGGGGCAGTGATATCTGACGGAGCAGTTCAGGGTGACCAGCTGTCCCTCTGTGGCTGACAACATGCCACTGATGACAGGAACCTCAGGAGTGTCTGTCAGTGGGGAAAATCATATTGAGGTGGTTTATTTAAGACAACATGACACCGTATTTCTTATTTTGTCTTTTTTATTTCATTTGATCTTTTCATTTCCTAAATTTTCTACATGTAATCTATTTTTTTTCCTTTTTTTGGACAAAATATAAAAACTCTAAACTCTAAAAAAGTTCTAAATCCTGGACACACATACATTATCTGGTTGTTAAATATCCAAAGAACAGCAGCTTTTATGAGAGAAGAAAGAGGCAACGCAGTGACTCCCCCACTCACCCACAACATCCAGATTGAAGCTCCTTGGCTTCCCCCAGAGTAAGTCGTCACCTCTCTTCAGAGCAATCTCAAACAACCTTGAGTCATCCTGGCTGATCCTTTCGATCTTCACAGAGCAGTCTCCATCTGTAATCCGCCCAAAGAGGGACCCCCGGCCTTGGAAATCCCTGCTCGCCTGATCTCTGTCCTCGCTGTTAAAAGCAGTGCTGCGGAGAGGGAAGAAGTGCCCACCACCTCTGAACCTCAACCGAACGTCCACCCTCTCCTTCTTCCCCCTGAGAGGATGAAGAGCTAGAGGCGTGAAAGAGCAGGGAATCACCACACAGGAGCCCACAACAGCTTGGACACGGTCAGGGACTGAGGGCACAGGAGAGACAGTCTGAACCCCCCTCCACAGTGCTGCTGCTGTAATAGAGAACAGAAAATCGTTCACCAGTACACAGGATCTGATGTAACCATGCCTTATTCAAGGTCCAGGGTTAAATGATGGGAGACAGTCAGTTTGTTATTATGCTATCCAGCCAGTTAATTGTGCTTCATAATTGTGATGTTCATGTTCTATGTGCTTGATGTATTTTTCAGTTTTAACTTGACCATGATACCAGAGACAACTTCCCGAGTGCATGGCCAATTAAAAAGTTTCTGTTCCAAACT